GACTTCATGTGGCTTGGAACTTTGAAACTGTGTTAGCAAACAATGAGTGAAGTGGCTCTCATGAAATCATCCCATCTCCTGAACCTTTCTCCAGAATTTTAAGACAAACCTTCCTACTGGTGGAGCTGAAATTGTGTTTTTTTAGCCTTTCCCCCATGGTCAGCAGGGAAATGTGTGTCTGCTCTGCCTGACCAGTCAAACACACCTTTTAAGTCAGAAAATGGGTAATTTGAGCCGTTGTAGTGACCAAGGACATCCTTTTCTTGTACTCTAAGTGATGAATTCCTTTCTGGAGATGTAAATTTGTTCCACTGTTTTCTTTAGATTACTTCAAGAGTCTTCTTTGGAGAACCTGGCCCGTGGTTCAATGATCTGGATATGGATGGTGACAAAACATCAGTTTTTCATGATGTAGATGGTTCTGTGTCAGAATACCCAGGCTCATACCTGATCAAAGAAGACAACTGGTTAATCAAGCACCCTGACTGCATTGATGTGCCCGACTGGAGAGGCTCCATCTGCAGTGGGCACTTTGCACAGGTAAGGTGCTCACCTTGCAGTATCATTATCACTCTGGTTTGTTCAAAATTTCTTGGCACTTTAAAGCTTGACCTGTAGAAATGGACTTCCTTCAGAGTGCTGTGTTTATTTATCAGCATGTCTGCACAGGTGGCTTTGAACATGAGAAATACTGTGGTGTATTTTCTGAAACCTTGGCCTTGGCTTCTGACAGCTCCAACAACTTGTGCTTGAACCCTCCTGAGAGCTCTGTGGGCATTCACAGATTAATATTCATAAATCCATGGGCTGTCAGCTAGTTATTTTTCCCTGATTTATGGAGGGAAGTGTTGCCCACAGTGTTATGGGAAATGTGCTGATGAGTCGAAATTAGATTTCAGCTTTCATGGTCTTTCATCCTGTGTGTGACCACCAAACCATTCTTCCCACCACAGGAGCCCTGAGTGCTGCTGCCATGAGAGTCCTCACTCTCCTCTGCTGAGAGGGCCTGGCTTTGTCTTGTGTGTTGCAACAGTTGGGGTTTTTTTGTGTGTAGTGCCCCTACAGCCAATTTCTAACCACTGAACTGGGTTTCAGACTTCTGAAATCCAGACAGAAGGATCCTTGTTCAGCACAAGTCAGATGTCTGAGGTAGATACTGTCCTGCTGCTGAGGGTTGCAGGATGCTGTAGAATATCTCAGCCCTGCTGCAGCCTCTGGCACATGCACTTGAACTCAGTGGATGAGGAAATGAGCCTTTTTTTTTCCTGAAAACCATTTGCTTTGTTGAAATGGAAGCCTTAGAAATTGAACATAAGTGCACAGCCCACAGGTTCCTGCCCAGCACACAGGACTTGCTCCAGCTCACATCTATTGAGTATCTGAACATTTTACTGTAGTTCATTAAACCCTTGGTGATATTTTTTTTTGTTTGGTTGGGGTTTTTTTCCATCTAGATGTACATCCAAGCCTACAAGCCAGCCAACCTGAAAATGAAAATAATAAAAAATGACTACCACAATCACCCACTCTACTTGGAAGGGGCTTTGAGCAAAAGCACTCATTACCAGCAGTATCAGCCAGTTGTAACTCTGAGGAAAGGCTACACCATCCACTGGGACAAGACAGCCCCTGAAGAGCTGGCCATATGGCTCATCAACTTCAACAAGTGAGTGAACTGGATCCCAGCATTCCAGTACAGTCATGTAACTGCACATTTCTAATGGGTGAGGTCATCACCTCATGAGCTCTTCCAGAATGAACATGCCTGTTACAGGAAGTCCATTGAGTTCATCTTTTCACGAGCCATCTCAGGTTCCTGTTTCCTCCCCCAGGAAGCTCTGTAAGATAACACAGTTCATTTTTGGAGCTTCAGAGCTAATTCATTCCTGGTGCATGGAAATCACAGGTGTAGAAGTCAGGAGCAGATCTGCCCTAATTGCTTAACTAACCCATGGTTGTTATGTCTAATTTATGTTGCATTAATCCATTCTAAACCATGAAAATTTTAACTGGACAGGAAAAAACTTATTGTAAATTATTTTGTTTGGCTTCTAGCATGCCCAGGAAAAGAATAGTTATGCTATAACTTGTTACAATGTGGTCCTTTGCTATTTTTAGGAATGACTGGATCCAAGTAGGGTTTTGCTATCCTAAAGGGACGACATTTTCCATTCTCTCAGACATCCACAACCGTCTCTTGAAGAAAACATACAAAACTGGCACCTTCTACAGAACCTCCCAGATGGAGAAACTGGAGCACAGATACCCCACCAAAGGGTACTACTACTGGGATGAGGACACTGGGTAAGACAGCAGGCCTTGCTGCTTTGGACACTGCTTTGGGAATGCTGCTGGAGCTGTGAGCTGTTTGCCTAATGCCGTTAGCGGGGATCGCAACCAAACCAGGAAGGTTTTCTGGGAATGTGACCAGTGTTTAATTTTCCTGGGACTCCCAGACCTGCCACTCATTCACAGCCTCTGCTGCACTGCCAATTACTCTGGGAAAGGCTTTTTCCAAGTGAATACAAATTAGAAAAGTTAAAAAAAAAAGGAGAAAGACAAAAGCAAAGTGCCGACCACAAAACTTAACTGAAGACATGCACAGCCCTTATTGTTTTGAACAAAAACTATTTATAAACACCATGACAGGGAGGCAGAGGAACTAAGTGCAAAGCCTGTTATTTTAAAGGATTAAAATAATGGGAAAGAAAGACCTAAAATACAGAGCATGTGTTTCTACATATGTATCACCATGGAATAGGGCTCAGAAGATGTTCAGGTGCTATCTGATTTCTCTTTTTTACTTTCCATAATACTCCCTAAACAATTTCTGGGATGAGTGTTCCCTGTTATTTGCATATGGGATGTTGGGCCCTATAAAACACAGGGCCAAGGGCTGCAATGAAAATTATTGCAAACCGTAGGAAAGAGCCCACCAAAACAATATGTTTTTGCATAAAATGTTTGAAGGACACTATTTATTTTTTTTTCCTGCCTGCAGGTTGCTGTTTCTGAAACTCAAAGCTCAAAATGAGAAGGAGAAGTTTGCTTTCTGCTCTGTAAAGGGCTGTGAGAGAATAAGAATCAAAGCTGTGATCCCAAAGACAGCTGGTGTCAGCGACTGTGAAGCCACAGCCTACCCCAAGTACATTGAGACACCAATAGTGGAAGTGCCAATGCCAAAGAAGCTCTCCAGTGCACAATTGGTAAAGCAGCTGATTTCTTATCACAGAATCATTGCTCGTGTAAATCTGGCACGTACTGAGCCCACAGATATAGAAAAACTTCGTGCCAGGGTCAGCATATGCTGTGCCTGATTTTCTGAAATGGTTCAGGCAGGTGAAATAATATGAAACAGATTCTTGGAATGTGTGGAGAGCCATTGCAAGCTGTATACTTGTTCTTTTGGGGTTCTGATGTGATGTGCTGTTCTTGAAAGCACAGGGTGGAAACTAATGAGCTGGAGACAGGTTGGTCTAGCAGATGTGATTTTGGAGCCTCCAGCTCCTCCAGGCTGTAAGAACAACAGTGGCAGACAGGGGACTGAATAGTAGAGTTGAATTATTGTCATTTATATAATGCATAACACAATCTCCAGTATGCAGTCTGGTTCTGGGGGAGGAATTGGAGTATTTATCTGTTATTTGGGTTTTTTCACTCATTGCCCTTGAAACAGGAATACACAGCAAAGCCTTGGAGAATTATGTGTCAGTTCTGCAAAGTAAGAATCACTCTGCCATTCAGTGAAACAGCTTAACTGGTGACAGGATGAGCAGAGAGGTTACCATTGTGCCCAGTTTCATTAAGAATTTAATTTGGCAGGTCAGTGCTTATTAGGTAGCTTCCTTGTTGATTGAATTTCAGGGTTTGAAATGTTTTCAATGAAAATGCAGCATTCAGGTAATGGCCCTTCTCACTAGAAAATTTATGGGTTTTTATTTTGCAAACAGAAGACCAAGGACCACCTAATTGAAGTGAAGATAGAAACCTACAAGAAACAGTACTTCCACCTGAAGGATGACTTTGCATACATTGAGGTGAGCAAATCCTCTCAATGAACTTAATGGGGTGCAATTCTACACCACTTGCTTTATCTTCATGGAAAACTTGCTTACAGAGTTACCATGGAGAGTTAAATTTGGGTAATTTCTGCTTTGTATTTCGGGGAAAAAAAAAAGGGCAGTATCTTATCCTGATAGGCAGGATAGCAGGATCTGAGACCTGGAATTCTGCCCTTTGAAGCAAACAGCAGTCCCGTGACTCAAGACTATCAGTACTTCTTACAGGTGGTTGTTTGCAATTGTGTTACTGTGAGAGATTAAGAATGCTTTTCCCCCTGCCCAGGTTGATGGTGTCAGGTTTTTCCTCACTGAAGAGGGTATCCAGCTGGTTGTGATTGATGGACACCATGGAAAAGTTGTTGATCGAGTAACATTCAAAAACTCCATTCTACAAGGAATCCCAGCACAGATAGAGAATTATGTCAAGAACATCAAAGATCAGTGAGTAAATAATCTGTTCTCACTAAGGAGCAATGTACAAAAATGCTGCATAACACTCATCTTTTTTCTTGGATTTTATCACCCAAGATGGGCCAGACTCCCAACAGCAGAACAATACACCCAAGGTATTTTTGTGCCTGATGACTCCAAAAGAGCCCAAATGTGTGCAGGACATGCAGGCAGCAGCAGGATGCACACTGATTCAGGGACTGATTGAGCCCCAGATAATGTGCAGGGCTGCATGTGATTAATAAACTGCAGAGCTACATTTATGTTGTGGGTTATAGACAAACTGCAGACTTAAATTCACAAACAAGGAAGGAAGGAAGGTGCTCTGACTCTTCTTCACCCATTTACACACCTCTTTGTTTCCTTCAGCTCCATAGTGCTGATGACATCTAAAGGAAGATTCATTTCAAGAGGACCGTGGACTAAAGTACTGGAGAAACTTGGAGCAGGAGAGGGTTTTAGGTTAAAAGGTAACCAGTTTTTAAAAACTCATTTCTAACCTCCCATTACTCCAGTAAAGGGACACTTTTTCTGCTTCTGAACTTTGCCTTGCTTGTTTCTATCAGCATGTGCTCAAACATCCTGAAACCAGTAATTTATTTATTCAGAAAGGTTGTGTTCACTGCAGCTTTGGGTAACATGCTCTATTTAAACTGCAAAAAGGAAAAAACACACTGGCCATTTTTCTTAGAAATAAATAATTCAGGGGATTTGATTTTCCAGATTAAGTTTAGATTAAAAGACCTTTTAATAATAGAAATAGTGAGCCTTTTTACCCACTAAATGCCCCAAACCAGGATTTTTTATTTGTCTGAACTTGTTTTTAGCTGGCTTTCTCTTGAAACATTCTGACTTGATGGCACAAAGCATGTTGATTTCAGAGCATCACATATGGCATTAGAATACAGCTCCACATGCACATTGCTGCAATCAGCTCTACCAGCTTTTGGCATGATTCCATCTGTGTGTGTGTGTGTGTTACATACATGGCTCTTGTGCACCTGCAGCCCTCCAGCCATGAGGTGTAGCCATGCACACAGGAGGGTTTCTGGTGCAGTCCTGGCACACTCTAAGTACATTTGTTCTGATTTGCAGAAAAAATGGCTTTTGTCGGCTTCAAAGGCAGCTTCCGCCCCGTCTGGGTGAAGCTGGTCACGAACGAGGACTCAGCCAAAATCTACCAAGCACTGCCAATTCCTGTGGTGAAGAAAATGAAGTTGTGAGGACACCCTGCTGTGCCTGCTGGCCGCCAGCACCGCTCCGTGGGATGGACAGACGGACAGACAGACAGACTACTGACCGCTCTGCGCAGGCCTCGCCCGCCCGCGCCGCCGGCGTAGCATTTTGTTGTTGTTGTTGCTGTTCAAAAAGAGATCTCACTGTAAGTAGCTAGAGGGGCCAGGTGTGAGAGCAGAGCCTCCTGCTGTGGCCAGCAGCGAGTGCTGGGGCCGCCAGGCCGGGCTGGCTCGGGCGCTGAGGCCGGCCCTGGCGGCACCGAGCCAGGCCTGGGCTGTTTCTGCAGGAGCTGCTTCTGCCAGCGCTCCTGGGACACACTGGTGTTCGTGCTGCCTCTGGAAGGGGAGCTCTTGGTCTGAAAACCGTCAAGGATTGTTGCTTCCACCATCTTCTAAGTTGACTTTTCCTTTTCTGTAGCGTAACTAGCTGCTCACGCAGACTGGAATGCCAGTTCAAAGACTGGTTGATAATCTGGTGGAGAAAGAGTGGATTTGAGTGATTTCCTGGGTGCTGGGAAGTGTAACTGAACAGTAAGCATTTCCCCTAAAGCTTCTGTGAGGTTTGGTCAAGCTCTTTGGGGTGTGTGTTGCACATGCAGCCCGCGGCACATAGTTGGGGAAGAAATGACAGAAGGAGTGGACAAAACATGCCAGCAGAGACTGATGGAACCACCTATTCCTGCTTCCTCAGAAAACCACATTTTTCCTATGGATCACGGAGTTTTAATAGTGGCTGTGCAAACAGGAAATTTTCCTCCAACAAGCAGCTGCAGGCTAGAAGGAGAGCAATGTCAATTAGCACATGTATTTTCTCAGCCTTTCCCATTCAGCCTTTCCCTCTGTATAATGACATGCAGAATCAGTTTATGGTTGCCAGCTAATACAATCCCAGTTCAAGGCTTCCAATTTTTGACTAGGAATACTGGGACTTACCTTATTCAGCATCAAATAGGGTGAGCTGCCCTCACCTTTCCCAGGACATCAGGGGAAACAGGATCAGACTGCTCTGCTGTGTGTTGCTTTCTGATCCTGTCTTCAGGCTAAAGATATTATGTCTTGGTCCTCCTGTAAGAGTTACATGAGAGCTGGATGAGGTCTTTCCAGGAGGCTGAAGAATTAAAGTGGGAATCCCAATGCACTAGTTGGATGTCTTGTACCTCCTTTCCCCCTGCTTCAATCAAAGACCTGGGTAATGATGGCAGATCAGAGTGGATCAGGACTTTACAGGGGCATCTCTTGAAGATGGGATGTTAACATTACCTTGTAATACACTGAAAGCATTTCTAGTGTTCAGTGATATTTCTGTCAGTTGCCCCAAAATACCACACAGGCGTTTCTGGAGGCTGTAGCTGTTGTAAGAAATCTGAGGGCAGGGGGAAAATGTGAAAGACATCATGACAAGCTTTTAAAAAATGTCAGTCTTGCCAGCAAGACTTTGGTTTATTTCCCCACTTTATCTCTGCCTGTCCCCACTGCCACATAAATTATTCCAATTGCTGATGGCTACTTTGTTTATTAATTAGGTTTTTCTTTTTCCCCACAGTATCAAAAATGTTACCTTGAAGTTAGACTAAAAAGCAAGGATTTTGTTTGTCATTCCAAAGGCTGTGCAGATACTGGTTTAGATAAGTTGCTCTGAATGTCAAAGCAAGCATGAACAAAATTTAGATATACTGTAGGTTGCATTCCACTCAAGCCTCTCCTGGGTTTTGAAACTGGAAATGTTCTTTTCAGACTTGCTACAAAATTGTTTTGAATTCACTGAATGTCATGTGTATTGTATTATAAAGAAAAAATTTAAAAAAAGAAAAAAAAGGAAAAAGAAAAAGAGCCAAGCATTCCCTCCCAGCTTCCCAACAAGAGTCTGGTAATGAATGTTCCTTAGGCATTTGTGCTGTTTGCAGAGTGAATGGGCAACATTTGTAAAAGGCAAATAAGGTGGGTTGTTTATTCTCCAAAATTCTTATGATAGTTTGGGGATTTCACAAATTATTCCATGAAAGAGTCAGTCTCACTGGTGTTTCAACCATGATCATCCAAAACATTTATCTGATGTCCTGTGATGGCCACAACAGTGCCAGATCCATGAAGCCAAGGGAAGAGACTAACAGGAATTCCCCATGGTCTGTCAGTTTGGGTTGTCTAAACCTTTTCCCTGCCCTGAGCCAGTGCTGTTGGTGGCAGCAGTTTTGGTGGAACACATTTGCTTCCAGGAGATGGACCAAAGCAGGAATATTTCCTTCATGAGCACATAGCAGATGGTGGGCAGGAAAGTGGGATGTGTCTGGAGTGGGATTTGGCTTTCTACAAGCCCCAGTGCTGGGGTTGCCCTCTGCAGTGCTCCACTGCCCATGGCCATTTCCCCTCTCCTGCTCCCTCTAAGAGTGTAAACACCCTGGAGCATCCCACCAGGTGGGTCTGTCCCCAAACTGCTTTGTTCAGCTTCTAGGAGCACGTTACCTTTGTGCTGAAATGTAGCTTCTGATTTTGCTGTTTTGGGAATTCTCAGGGTGAAAGCATATGACTTGGCTCTAGGAAAAAAACCTTTTTCTTTTCCTTTCTTAAAAGATCTCACCTTCTTAAGAGAGAAACCTTAATCAGCTTGTCCTGTGATGCTGAGCCTGGCACATGGGGCCTGTTTTGGATCTGGGGAGGGTCTCCTGCTGTGAATACCCACAGGAATCACTGCAGGCTGGCAGCCCCAGGGACAGCAGAGCATCCTGGCTGCGTGCAGGGAAATGCCCAAGGCTCCTGGTGACCTGCACGGCCTGGAGCCATCCGTGTGTCCTCTGGAGGCAGAATGGAGCCTGCTGCCATGGCCAGTCAGCAAGAGCCCCGTGCCAAGTGATTCCTGTTCAGCCCCTGACTGTTCTAGAAACTCTTTTCAAAGAGTGCACACTCTGACCAGTGAATTCCCCAACTGCTCGTCCTCTGTACAGCCCCTGCAGGAGCTGCAGTGACCCTCTCTGTAAGGTTTGATTCCTGCAGATGTTTCCATGTTTGCCTACACAGTTGCCATTGGTGGAGTGGGGTTTTTTTGGTTGCATTTTGTTTGTTTGTCTCTTTGTTTGTTCGGATGTTTGGGTTTTATTGCCTCTGTTCAACTGCTTGTTTTACCTGTCGCCGAAACAGCTGGTCCTTTTTCGGAGTTAGAGGTTTGTACATTTTCTTATAGACTTTCCAATGAAAAAAAAAAAAGATATATTTTCTATTAATTTATTACAATGGCACTAAGACAACTAAATTGCAGACATATGAAGCATTTTTACTGGAGTTGAGCATTGTCCAGTTTGTTAAGGAGGTTGGCAATGTGTCTTTTCTGATAATCTGCTTTGCACTTGAAAGCTCTCTATGTCCACAGACCGTGGTGGTGCATTGACTGTCGGGTTATGATGACAAGAGCTCTTGGGACGTCGTTTCCAAAAGATTGTGGCTTACAACTGAAATAACACGTAGTTGTTTGGAGTACACAATGTTTATCAAAATAAATATTCAGTGCAAATTTCTTATTTTATTTTTGTCTCCCTACTTATTTCAAAAGAGAAAAACTCCTGCGATCACTGCTGTGCCACTGCTGCCCTGTGTGTGTGCACATGTGTATCTGTGTGTTTGGGATGGATGAGTGGATCTGTCACCTATGATTGAAAAGCATAAAAATATAGTATAATTTAATATATTTCATAAAATATAACATGATTTAATATTTAGATTATATATTACAAAGATAATATAAATTATTAAAAGAGTATTACAGACTAGAAGAGAATGGAATTGTTTATCTTGGAAAAGACCCCTAAGGTCATTGAGTCCAACAGTCATAAGCAAGCATTCCAAAGTCCACTATCCAGAAATGCCACATTTCTCATATATAACATTATAATTTATTTTATATGTATGATATATAATATAATATAATATAATATAATATAATATAATATAATATAATATAATATAATATAAATTTTTACCCGGAGAGGCCGTTCCCTGTCCGCGGGCGCCCTCTCGCGGCCCCGGCCGGGCGCGGCTCCCGGCTCTCCCGTCCCGGCCGAGCCGTGAAATTCCTGCGAGTCTCTCCCGGGCATCAAGTTCCAAACGGCGCTGTCCCAGCTCCTGCTGCCAGCTGCGAGGTGTGGGATGCCTGACAGAGTTTTGATTCTCCCCAGCCCTGTGGAGCACGGGACTCTGTCTGTCCGTGTCGCCAGGCTCAGCGCTGTGCGTGCAGCGCTTGCGGCCTTTGGCAGCAGCCGGGCCCGTCGCCCATGCAGGCGCTGAAGCCGCTGCGGTGAGTCCCAGCCTGGCACAGCGATCCCGCAGCTCTCTCAGGGCTGTTCTGCCATTCCCCTTCTGAGCAAAGGATGGGAGAGGGATGTGCACAAAGCAGGGCTGCAGGCACACCGTTCCTCCTTTGCAGAACACCGTCAGGAGCTGCTCCTGCGCTGCTCCCTCAGCGCGGGGCCGAACCCGGCCCGTGCTCCCTGAACACCACCAAAACCCCAGCGAGAGCTGCAGCGCCCTGCGAGCGGATCTGCCCGCAATTTCCGAGGGTGAGGCTCAGCTGGAGCCTCTCAGCACTGTCAGGACATGGTAAGGGGCCTGTGACAAGGGAACAGCGACAGGATTCAACAGGAGGGAGCCCCCGACAAATAATTCTCCCTCTTCCTTTGCCAGAAGGTGGAATGTGAGATCACAGTGAAATTCCCAGCCCCACCAGAGCCCCATCTCCTCTCCTCCTGTGTTAGCGTAGGATGAGCAGTACAGGATAATGTTTCTAAAAGCACAGATACCTCACCTGGAAGCAAAGGGCCTGCCAGCTGATAGCAGCACCTGAGGAAATGAATGCAGCTCATTTATTTCTGCTTTCCTGTAGAAAGCTCCAGTGCTACAGCTCCGTCTCTTGGACATGGACTGCTCTCATTACAAATCTAAAGTTGATTTTCTCATCCCAGAAAGTGAGGCTGTCCTGGCTTATCACTACTGCCAGAAATAACAACATGGGTGAAATAATTTCAGGCCTTAGTTGGGTTATCTGAGCACTGAGCGATGTGGCTTAAATGGTGATGTTATGTGGGAACAGAAGCTGAGAGGAGTGGTGATAAAAAGGAAAGTGGTCTTGCCTTCATTAGGTTACACAGCTCATTAATTCACAACAAACTACCTGGTACCCACATTAAAGGCAAGACAGTTGTTTTTTTCAAGATCTTGTGCTCAACTGCTGTCTTAAATGCCAAATCATTTGCATGTCTGTGCTTCCATTAAGGTCCTGGCAACTGCATCCTATTATAAGTGCAATTATCTAAAGTCCAGGCAGTGATTAACATGCTGCACAGCACCTGAAAGACAGCAGCTGACTGTCAGGGGCTGGCAAGGCACAGGGTATGGCTGTGGATACAACTGGCAGGATGAATAATAAAATACTCATACAAAAGTCTCATGTGATTTCAAATATGTACTATTTTGGACACTTCTGAAATACCATTTTAGATGGGGGGGTGAAAACGACTAATTTCTAAATTTCTTTTGCAAAAATAAGTTGAGTGAAATGGAAGGACAAGTTAAAATATACAAGATGGCCTGCAGGCATGAATCTCAGAAGCAATATCAATGGTCACATAAATACACCTATTAAACATTTTTGCTTATTTTTTATATTGACTCAGCAAGTGCTCAACCATGATCTTGTTTTCAGCACACCCTTGCACTACAATTATTCAGGTACCTTACCAGAGAAAAAACTTTATAAGCAACAGCAACATCCAGGTCACTTCATGGTGCTGTTCAATCCTTGCACCTTGGAAGCAAATTCCAGGGCCTTGCTGTTCACCTCTTTCCAATGCACACAGAGCCCTGATGACATCTAACTCTGCCAACAATTAAGGCAGCCGAGGTAATTTAAATATTAATGATTTAATGAGTGCTCAGTGCTGTGGACAGTGCCTCCCACAGAACTGGTGGGCAGGGTGCCAGCACCAAAGTCCAGCCTCTGCTCAGACACAACTGATAATTGCCTTTAAAAGCAGCAGATGTTACAGGCAGTAAAGATGGGCCCACAGGTTTCTTTTAGAGTTAATAAATTATCTAAGGAAAAAAAAGTTTGGGTTATAAACTCCATGAATTAGAGCATTGCAGTTGCTCTTCTGTAAAAAACAAGGGTGTCTCCTGTCTCACTTCAACACAGTACAATTCTGGAATAAGAAAGAAAAAAGGTTCTGTTTCTGAGAAGCTGTAGCCTTTGCCCATAAGACAGGGAAGAGGCTGAAGCTCCTTTAACTGTCCCATCTTCCCCTTCCAAAACACCAATGTCTATGTAATAATAATAATAATAATAATAATAATAATAATAATAATAATAATAATAATAATAATAATAATAATTAATAATAATAATAACAACAACAATAACATATAACACCAATTAAAAATAATTAATGATTACCATTATTACTGTTAATTAAATGATGGCTAACAGGTCTGGTTTTCCTATCACAGAGACAGTTGATGTAGTGCCACTGGTGACCCAGCCACTATCAGCACAGGTCTGTTAGGCAGCATCACACCAAAAAGGAACAAAGCATTTCCCATCTGTCCCTGGCTAAAGCCTGGCACCGTGCAATGCCTGATTGTTGTGTGTTACAGCAGCTTTTTAAATGCTAATCAAAAACTGCTCTGCACAGAGCTCTCCTGTTCCATGTCCAGCCCCCTCCACCACCTGACTACTGCAGGAGAAAAAAATACCATCATCCAAAAATCCAGGTGGAGGGATTTTCCTTCTTTTCCTTTCTGGCAATTTGGTACTACCTGAATTCAGTGGGATTTGTCCTGTTAAAAGGGCACAGTATAAAAGATAAAAAATAGTGATATTCAAAAATAGTTCATTTTATCCCAGAGTAAGAATTATCAAATAGCAGGGTATCAATGGACCTAGCAGGATGAAAATCTTAATAAAGAAAAATATGACAGTACCAATGAATTAGGCATTTTAAAACCAGAGGCATCCCCTCTATTGAGGCACAAGTTCTTTGAATTTCTATAAATATCTGATGCAATTAAAAGAAAAAAAAACTCTGGAAAAGGCAGTGTTACTCCCTGATTAAAAAAGGAAATGAGCCACAGATAAAAGAATGGAAATAATTTATAAGCTTTACCAGAAACCCATCGAGAACAGTAGCCAAATATCACATAAAAGTTGGTTGTTCCATGGCTTTACAAAATGGTGTTTTAATTTATGATTTCCTTTTTGGGACAAAATTCGGAGTTCAGGAACAGTGACAGAAAGATTTTCTTGGAAGTCAAGGCTGATCTGACTGTTCAGAGAAATGCTTTGACCACTCTAAGTTAAGATCAGAAAAACCTGTAGTAGTTTGTGCCAGAACAATTTAAAGAAAAAACCCCAAATCAACAAAACTCAGAATATTTTCTGCAGTATTTTATTACATAAAAAGTTGATTGTCCATAGGAAATTTTTCACAAAGTGCAACCACATCCTGTGTAGCATCACTGACAAACTTTTTTCTGAGTAGGACAGCTGGGTTAAAAAAATTTAACAGTAGCTCAGAAAAGTTAGGTATAGCACTAGAAGAGAGAAGCCACTATGCTGGGAGGAGAAAGGCAGCAGATGTTTTGCTGTCATGAAAACAGATGATTTTCCATGTACCTCTGTATAGAACTGAAAAAAAAAAGGAAATAGTAAGAGCTATAACTACCACCCTAGTGGTTGAAATTAGTTTTAAAGGAGGTATCTCAATGTTCTGTATGTGGAACCAAAAAATCTGTTATTGAAAGCCTGATAAGCCTCCAAAGGAGACTCCATCTTCTGAGGTACTCACAGAGCATTCCTGGACTTGTATAAAATTTTGAGGATATTTATTTTTATATATTCATGTGTGTGATAGGGTTTGTGTGATAGGGTTTAAGCTTCTTAAGTCATCACCAAACATTTAGTTATGTACCACTGTCCCAGGACAAGTGCAACTGTCTCAAAGACTTTACCACTTTTAAAAGGCAATTCAGGTTATTCTTGAGTAATGAACTGTAATAGCAGAGAAAGATTGCCTGGGGTAAAGCAGCTCCTGCCAGACTGCCATATTACACTTACTGGTATATTTCAGTATTTGTTTAGCGTAAAGAATGAAAAAGAGAGAAGAAAAATGGAAGAGTAAAATAAATTTATTTTGTGAAGGCAGCATTTTGTGTTTTATATAAAAAAGCAACTGCCAAGTCATCACACAGATTAAAAACCTAGAAAAAAAAACAAACACAAAAAAACCCCAAGCACTCTGAAATTTGATTAAGCTATGTGGCACAAGACTCACCTGCATTTGGCATGGGCAACTGACCCAGAAACAACCAACCAAAAAGAAAAAAAAAAAGAGTCAATTGTCTGGTTCAATTTCAATAAACCTCCTTTTAACTACAAAGGGGAAAGACCCAATCTACTGTAAATGTAGATTTATGAATGACTAAAGTATCTATACTCAAAAGTTGGGCTATAGCTATAGTGTAGTAATTGTTTCTCCACCAGTCTCAAACCCAACCTGATCAAAAAGGAAATAACATTAGGAGGAATACAAAACTGCACTTCCATGTCTTTCTGATCAAAATCTGAATTGTCACCTCTATACCATAACTTTGAAAAGCAAAAACTCATTAATATTTCATTTTTATAGTTTCATCTGACTTCTGTTCTTCCCTTGAGATGAGAAGCAATATTGGTTACAAAGGGTGGTGCTAACCCAGAATATGTGACCAAATGATAAATTAGTTGTGCACAAAAATTGACTGCACATCTCAACTATCAAAGTACCACTAAGACTCTTCTCAACTCTGCTGCACATCTGCATTAGTAGTAGAATATAAAAAGTAATAGCTAATCCTGAAGAAACAAATTTTAATTTTCCACTCAAACAGGTACAGGCCTGTTTAATGAAGTGTAGCTGCAAAGGTTTCTTTAATCTAAATTCATACAAATATAATTAAAATTAAATAAAATGAATCAACTGGAACCCTTATCAACATCATTTAGTCCTTACATACAGAAACCAAAGATGAGTTAGTCTGCCTCTTGAATACATAACCAAATGCAGATCTATTTAAAAGGTTTTACTACTCTTCAAAACAATAAGTTTAGTGACATATTTTATTTTAGAACAAGGACTCAGTTACAGTTTCATACTTTTGATACCGAAGTATTCCACAAGATCAACCATTATGGTTCAATTAGGACCTTTTATCCAAGACACTTGGATTTTAGCACCCTAAAGAAAAAGTAACACCATACCAGTATTGAATGAAGACAGCTGGTACTGTGCTCATCCTCTGTAATAAAATGATGTGGACCACACTACTCGGTGCCTTTTGTCCCTAACTGGTTGTAAGGCAGAAGGGAAACAATTCTAAGCAAAGCATTTGACTGAATACAATCTGAGTAATAACAAAACCTCCCCAATTATATAAAGTATTGGCTCCCATGTGAACAGCTTCATAGTATTCAAATCAAATGTTCATTTACAATCAACCACGTCAGTCAGGAATCTGTACCAAGAGAAAAACCCACCAAAATCTAACCAGATCAGTGTTAGTGAGTGATATGTCTGACTCAAAGTTTAACTCTGTGCTCTAACTAGTGCTTTTTCAAATATTTAAACAAAGCATTAAATCAGTACACCAAATTAACTTCAGAGTTAAAAGCTTTTCCTTCCAGCTCTCTGCCTGAGTAACGGGACACACAGACCAGGTGCTTCCACAGGCACAGTCCTTCAGCAGCAGGAGCAACCTGAGTGCCCTGGATTCATCTTCACTTTTCACCCTGACACTGCTCATGCAGGTGCTACCATTCCATTCATTTCTGCAGGGCACAGAGTGTCCCTCCTGTACACATCTGCAGTGCATGAGCAGAGCTCCTACCCAGCGTCCACCACACTCCTAGG